CAAGCCCACATTTAAATTAGGGCATCTGGAATGAAATTCCAGTTTCCACAAACAATAATGCAAAGTGGAACTTCTAGAACTATAGCATTACCTAAAAAAGGCCCTTGGATATTCCTGTGATAATAGTAACACTCCACATGTCTCGATGGAGAAATTTATTTTTCACATCATAATTACATCCTAACATGGCACTTTATTCACGGTATGTTTTAATGTAAAAGAACTTGCTCGATCTCAAAAATATTATCTCTTCTTAATATTGGTTTTGCTTATAGTAATTAAAAGGTTACCTTTTCAAAAAAGGAAAACTAACAAAAAGAAAAGAATAGCTGCATCGATGAGACAATGCAAGAAATTGAGACAGTAAACATACAGTGGGAAATGGAAGGAGTAGTCAAGTCGGTATATTCTTGATGATACACAAAACTGCTTATTCATTACACTTAATATCTAGACAGTAACACAGAACAAATTATAAATCCACACTTACGTCATCAAAATCTAAGCTCCCATACATCCTGCCATAGGTACGCAGAGGTCCACCATAACCAAATGGTTCGGGATTGTTCATCATGAAATTACTACTGGGACCAGAATCATTAACTGGTGTAGCTGAATCTATTGCCACCTGTAAGACATCAAAAGGAGACTCAAATGTTACCATTCACTGTGTCATTAACAGCTTTCAGCAAGCAATTTTAACTACTAGAACATAGAGGTATAAGTTGCATGAATCATGCTCAGAATCCAGACAGGTATTTAAAAGTTATAAGTCAGGAGAAAGGAGGTTGGGATGAAAATTTTGGTTCAAACATTCACTAATTTAGTATGTAACTTGGATTTTAATGGCTAATAGCCTCAAGCTAAATGAGAGCATTTTCATTTCATGTAAGAGTTTCTTGATCAAAGTCCAGTCATATCTCAAGTTCTCTGTACTACTTTAGCAGGCTTCTTATCAGATTCTTATCTCCAACACACAATGGTTTGCTAGTGGGACTCAAACCTGTTGTCCACAGATTTCATGAGATCTTCGAGCTACACGATCTGCAACACCATTTTCAGCAAAAGTCACAAAACCAAATCCCCTGTGGCCAGTTCTCTTGGGATCCTGCGCAAAATAACAAGACTATTAAAAACATTAATCTATCAAATTGTTAATTACATTAAGACACTGCTATACTTACCTTTGGAACATAAACATCTAAAATACGACCAAATCTGCCAAAGTATTGACGAAGGTCTTCTACACTTGCCTCCTGAGGAAGCCTGCCAACAAAAATCTTTTTGCCCATTCCACGAGCTGCTTCCCCTCCTAATTTGTGATTATTATTAACTTGGGTGCACCTAGCTAATAGTTAAAATGATATTAAGGAAAATGAGTACAGAAATTAACTTACTTCCATACATAGAAACTGGATGATCATACAAGTTTGGGGCACCAAGTGTGGCATATCTAGTCGCAGAATGCATGTAAGCATTATATGCACCATAGCCACCACCCTGAGGCATTCGACTTGTTGGTCGGAAGTCGTCATCCTATATAGAATATAGGTCGCATCGAAAAAACGATTAAAAATAGAACTCAAAAGCCCAAACATGTCTTTTATGTCATAATTGAAAAAATCCCAACCTGCAGAATTGGAAACCACTAGCTCTCTCTGTCTACCCCCTCCCTCTTCCAAGGTGGAAGTAAAGTAGAGAGGGAAAGCAGGGGTCGCTGGTATAACATCCGAAAACAACTTAGGTAGCTGTTGGAATTGAATTTAGTGGCTCGAAATAAGTCTTTTTCATTAGGGGACCTAATTAAATGTTGACCAATGGTTTAGAACCATAGAGCAATTTCTTTCACACATGCATATTTTTCCTTGGCTAAACCTTAGTAATATGATTGCATGATTAATTTAAATACTGCATGTCAATTAACCTGATTAATTGGTTAAATATTATAATTAGAGAAACTTTCATTTATTAAAATTAGAAACATTATTTATGCATACGTAATTAGCAATCTCATATTTTTATATGGTATGTTAAAATATTTAGTTTGGCATAATTTAAATCAAATATTTAATTATATGACAATACCTTATTAATAGCATTTATTGGGGATAGCAAAAAAATCCGTCAAACCCAATACCCGCTAACCCCGTCCTAAATGGGCGCGTAGGTTACCCACTTAATCGGGTAATCGGGTCTGATTCCCCAGCCCCAGGGGGTGTGGGTAATAGGGGCCCGCCCATTTAATTTTTTATTTTTTTAAATTTAAGAATTCAATACTTTAAATGGATAACTCCAAAAAAATTCATTAATTCTAATAAAAGATGGCAGCTAATATTATCTAAAGAATATGATAAACAATAAAGACTTGTTTACCAAATATATTCGAATAATTTAACTTTCAAAAATAAAAAAATTAATAAAAAAATTTAATAACTATATTATTGCCTCACTTTAGTGAATGAGGGCAGTAAAATGAATTATCAAAAATTTAAAAAAAAAAAAAAAAATTAAATGAGTACGTAAACAGGGCAAATGCCCCATCCCGACTTAAGCGGGTCCAGGGTGGAAAAATGCCCGACGAGGCATGGGCCGAGGAAATCCACCCTGTTGCCATCCCTAGCAATTATATATTTATAAATATAGTTAATTGGGTAATTAGTTAAGTGATTGATTACAATCCATATGGAAAAACATGTGGCATTAATACAGGAATGAATGTTGGTACCAAAAATAGGTAATAGTCAAACCTTAGAGACCCCTATTTATACCCCATCATATAACTTACACTCACAACTTAATCTTATACTTTACATCTCTCTTTCTCTTAACTCATCTTCCACATTACAAAGTTTAGCATGCACAGTATACAAGGATTTTTGGAGTGAAAGTCTAAAAAGACAATTGCCTTGATTTACCCTTATCTTCTTCTATACATAAGTGTCGCACGAATTGTTCATTCATTATTTAAACTACGAAAATTTATATTGTAAATATGATGATACGAAAATCCAAGTTATGATTATGATAACGGTCATATATGTGTAAGTCCAAATGACCGGAGTTTAGTAGCGCCACACACAGGAATTTTAATTCCCGAATCTCCATATGTAATGATTTTCTGTATTTAAGTATGAGATGAAATTCTTTATTACTCGTTTATTGAGATTTATGTCTCACGTATATATTAAATTATTTAAAGGTAACTAAAAGGCAGGTTCGAGGCAATCGGAGGTAGATTATGGTTGCCTGGGTGAAAATCAAAGAATAAATTATGTAAAGGATTTTGATAATGTTCATTGTATTTTTTCTTAAAACGAATTTTAAACTCTTGCATGTTAAGAAAATATTATGTTTTTCTATTGTTTAGGAAAGTATTCTTTTACAGTATATGTATAATGATTCCAAAATTAAAAATTTGAGTTGTTACAGGTGGTGGAGGGAGTTTAAAGGATGTAGAACATCTAACTAGTAGCTAAAATTATTACAAGATTCTGGCGGAAAATTATGCATACGAAATGGTAAAATAGAACAGTGATTCCCTACAAGAAAAACCATGCAAGGCTGAAATTACCTTTGGAGTTGCCCTATCCACAACTACAGTAGAACCTCCCAACTCATGGGTTTCAGCCATCAGATCATCCACTGCCTCTGTGGAAAGATAATAATGAAGAAAGGATTTAATTTTTCAGCTGTCAAAACTGCACTTCATGCGGTGAAGAAGAATTCCACATGTAAATGCAACTCAAGGACAGTTTGAACATCTCTATCTAGATGATCTCAAAATTTGATTGCTTCAGAAAAATATAGGTAAGGAGTAGGCAATCGAAAGCAGTGAGGAAAACATTCTCCTTGATTACAGTTTTAAAATCATGACAACTGACACGAATGGTTCAATTCAATCTTCATACACCCATCAAAATGCAAAAACCTACCAGGAATAATGTTTCTTATCACTATTTTTTTGTCTTTCATTTAAATTGGAAAGGTTAAGGAGGATGGTACTCAGACCTGTGAAGCTGTAGGATAAGCAATAACCAAAAAACAAAATAAAGGACAGCGTACAGATGAATGAGGATATCATATATAAGACAAGCATGGAGATAGTCGGCCACAGAAGATTACAAGATGGAAGATTACAAGATGGAAGATGACTTCATTGGTTCCAGAAAACAGGCTTCCCGTACATATGCACATTGCTTGTCTGTCTATACACATATTGAACCCCACAGAACTAAGCATTCATTCGATAAATTAGGATATCGAAATCTTTGGTCCTACATGTTAGAGGCTATGATTTGAACAAAGTGGAATGAAAAGATCTAAAATGGCAAATGTAATAAATCAGACAGTTGCTCCAACCAATTGAAAACACAACACCAAGAAAAACACTGAAACCGATTTACCAGCATTTGCAAAAGTGATAAATCCAATCCCACGATGGCCCTTGGCAGTTGGATCCTGACAATAACAAATGAAATTAGCAGGTGCAATAAAAAGGCAATATTATATTTGATAGGAAGTGAGAGCAATACAAACCTTTGGCATGTATAAATCAGTTATGTCACCATACCTCTCGAAATGACTACGATAATGTACACAAAATTTAGACTTCAATAACAGCCCAAATGCCACAAAGATATAACAAATCATCCAATTAAGCAATATTTCAGATTCAAACTTAGTCAACATGGAGTAATTCAGAAAAGATACGTTCTGAACATAGCTTCAGTCACAGAGGGTGAAATCCTAGCCACAAAAATCCTGGCCACTTTACTTGGTGGAGCTCTCAAATCCTCCTGTAGTACAAGGTTTGAAAAAACACCAAGAGTTAGAATAATATCACATAGCTTCTAATCTTCTAAATCAAACGCAGAACTACAAGCAAACTGAACAGGCAATAATTACAACATTAAAGTAGCAAACTGTAAAAATTAGAATAGCCGGATTATCAAAGAAGGTAACCTTAGGTGTGGCTATTTTGACCTCCAACATTCTATTGCCAAGGACATGCTCACTTGTCAATGCAGCCTACAAAATACAAGGTGCTGTAACCCATAAACATGAAAGCGCCCTCTAAATATACAGAGAAAAACGAAGTAGAAAAAAGAGCTAACATAAAAAACTCAAAGCACACGCCAATCTTAATTGAGTACCTGTGCATCCTCCACTGCTGCGAATGTGACATATCCAAAGCCACGAGATCGACCAGTGGTCCGCTCCTGACATCACAAAAGCAACGAAGAAAACAAGTCTCTTCCTAACAGTGCTTATTTGTAGAAATCACTGAACTCAAAAGACTGCTTTCACAATATTAAGTTTCTACTGAGTACGGAACAACTTCCAGCCTTTCAATTTCCCACCGGAAAGGCAACAACTTTTTGTTGGCTGCTATTGTTGTCCAATCAAACACAGATGTACATACACGTTCTAAATTAAAAATAGTTCAACAACTAGTTAATGGAGAAACAGTAATTTTTCCATTGCTTCTGATTCAGTCATCAGAAATCTGAATTTGTGAGACTGTAGAAAACATTTGTCATCCTATAAGCACATTACAGCCGGGTACTTAGTGGCTCCAGGGACTCAAACTGGTAATCATTGGGAACAAACCCAAGCCACTAAGCTCCCCCCTAGGGTTACTTTTTTATTTATTTATTTACAGGTTAGACAAGTATAATACAATAAAAGCATATTTCCTTACTAACCTTCATTACAACGCAGTCCTCTAATTCCCCAAACTTGCTCATGTATTCTCTCAGTCCTTCGGTGTCCACATCCCAAGGAATGCCCAAAACCTTAAAGTAACACAGATGCACATCATACATACACAAACGCATATACCGAATCAAGCACAGCTACATAATCTAAATTTTTAGACTTACGACAAGCTTTCGGTCGGACATGTTGAGGTAAATCCGGAAATTTCAGAAATCAAGAAAGGCAGCTATCTCGAGATTCCCCCCTCTCTCTCTCACCAACTCTCAGTCGCTTACGCACTCTTCCTGCACGCAACAACAATAGACACACCTCTTTCTCACAACACACAATCATCATCGTCATATACCAAATCAAACTCACCATCTTATCTCAGAGTTCTCGAGGATCAATCAAATAAAATACCTAAGAGAATAAAATTCGCAAAAGATACAAGAGAATTATCGGAGAACAGCTCTGGGCACTCCCGCATTCACTGACCTTTCAAACCGAATTGCTGATTTTCAAAACCCAACTCGCTCGCCCACTCGCTCTCTCTCTCCTCTCCACTCGCGACGCTCGGCTCCCTGTACCTGTCCGGTCTGCTTATCTGGACTGGACTCGCCCATTCTGCACGACTTCAATTTTATAAAAGCCGACTAATTCGTCAAAAGAAACGATTTTGGAAAATAAAATCGCTATACTGCCCTTTTAAAGTGCAACCTATTAGATTTTTCTATTGGTTGATTTATTGAAAGAGGAATTGAGATGCTTGCGCGCTGATGAAATGCTTAAAGTTACTTTTTTATCAAAAATAAATTTACTAATAAGTATTAAGCCCCTGTTTGATTAACATTAAATTAAATTACATTACATTCCATTTTTCTCTCTCCTATTTTCAACCATACAATCTTCTATAAAATAATATTACACGTAAATCGAAAACTTTACTTTCTTTTTCAACCACTCATTTTTCTAAAAAATACTATTCCCCCCATTACCATTTTCAGGTAATGGGGGCCAAACAGGGGCTAAGTGATTGTTTAGGATTCTTTTTTAACTTTCTAGAACTTTGATTTGATAGATATGAGTTATAAATAAGCTAATAGTAATTACGGATGTTATAAAAATATGTGATTAAATTAATTTTTATAAACACTTAAAATTATAATATAATAATGAAACTGAATAAGCTCTAAATAAGTTCTAAATAAAAAATAATTTTGTTGGTGACGTGTACGAAAATTATAGCCCGACCCCGAACTTTCAAGCATGGCCCGAGGTAACCTCGACCACTCTCATCTCCAAATATCCTTTAAAATGTGGTGGGGCCTCTCATAGGTCGGACCTAATAATCGGGTCCTACTAAGGTCGGGTCCACATGCCAAAATATTGTCCTCTTCTCGAGTCTCTTGCGAGTTTTAGTGCTCCTATGACTCAACTGTTTATCATTATCTAAATACTAAACGTATTACAATTCATGCCAAACCTAAAGTGGTAATTGTGATATAACTCAATCACTGTACAAGATAAAGATTACAGGTGGTTGAATCCTGATACAACTCAACCACTGACATCTATAAATACAGGACTCAGCTCCATTATTCAGGTATGTCTTTACAATACAATTACAGCACATACTTTTACACAATTTCCCTCTCTGACTTAAGCATCGGAGGGGCGACGAGCACACACCTCGTTGCCTTTGTTTCAGGTACCGGAAGCCTTTGTTCGTGCTCTTACTCGGTCCTCGGGCTCGGTATTCAAGCAACAAGTTCGTGATATGCCAGGTACGATTTTTTGGCATCATCATTGGCGCCGTCTGTGGGAAGCGATACATTAACCATGTGCTCACCACATTTAAAAAGTCACTGGAAGGATAATGATTCCGAGCAGTTTCTCAACCAATGATCTCGGGGAGGATGTTTCTGCTTTTTGAATGGTTTCAAAGTCCAACATAGACAAAAAGACGTAAATATCGAATTGAAATAAGGTCAAATTCGAAAACCCAGTTCTCTTCCTGTTTCCAAAATCCAGAATCAAGAAAAATTACTCAGTAAACATCAATAAAATTCATAATTCATCGGGATATTTTCCACAACAATGGCTGTTCACCTACGCGATTGCCCACGTTAGTTTATTCTGATCGACGCTTGGGAATCATTCATCTCCGCCTCCAAAATTCTTGTGCAAACTCAATCATCTTCGTTGCATAACAACGCCACTGGAAAAATTCATCTTACGATGAGTTTCTCTGTCAAAAGCAAGGAAAAGATGCTACTGGAATGACAAAAATCCCCCTCAATCCACTTCAATTCATAATTAACTCCAGCCCTAATGTTTAGCGTCTTCCAAATAGCCACAATTCTCTCCAAGGCTGTTGTCTTTTTGGTGGGAGTATCTATATAAAAACAACAACCGGCAACCTTGTTTGTGTAAAATATATATGTTCCTCAAAGCTCCCGCTGCCAAAGTGTGTATATATTGATTGATTCCAGCAATAGGCAGCTCAATTCTTCTATGTCTTTCTAATTCCAGCCGCCGGCTTCTCTCCCCGTGCGTGGGTATGTATAAATTTGTTCGTGTATGTGTGTTTTGTATGTGATAAACGACTCGTACTTCATAATTGGGATTTCTTTGGTGGGATTTCGATAATCGTGATAAGTCCTCAAAAATAATTTGAGACGTGGCAATTCATTTGATGAAATATGGTAGCTCCACCTCTGTCGACAGCCATCTTTTTTAGCCGTCTAAATTGCCGTAAAACCTACAGCCACGTAAATCTGCTCTCCTCCTTTTAGACCGACTCGATTGCTTATTCATGGGCTGGTCGAGGTCCTTCACTGCTTCAAGCATTAATGGTTAGGTTACTTTTTCCCTGGCACACGCAATCTTTTGCAGCTAATTGTCCTTCTTTCAGATGGATTTGTCTCCAAATTTTGCTTGTTTTATTTGGGTCTATTTGGCTGGGACAAAATATCCATAGGTCACTTGGGCCTAACTTGCAATCTAGTTTTGAGGGATTGAAAGAATTTACTTTAGGTTTTATTATTAGGCTTTAGCAGACTTGGGCCCAAGGTTCATGGAAATTTTTCAACAGGATTAATTTTGATCGGACCACATAACTTCTCAAAGTCATTTTATTGGCACTCGTCCTATTTATTCCTTTTGGGCCCAATGTAAAGTCATGGATTCATGGGAAGGCCTCTTTTTATTTTACTTTAATGTTAAAAGGACTTGGGCTAAACATTTATTGGGTTTCACTACATCTAGCTTCATCAGGCACTTTGGACATGTTAACTTACTGCTAATAATTCTTATTTGGGTTTCACAAACTGATTATTGGGCCCAATGTTTTACTGGTTCCCTTTAAGCTATCATCTATTTTAAATTTTAAATCATGTGGGAGAAGGCCAGAAGCAATCCATTGGGGAATTAGAAATTTCAATTTACATTCCATGTCCATGGAACCATTTATGATTGGAAATTTATCAGCACCGAGAAAATATTTGTTCATTGCTACTGGGGGCCTCGATATTGAAGATGATGCAGATACACAACACCTAGCTCTAAACCCAGGTATATTTTCACCTAACAAAGGTATTCATTTTTTTTATTCTGTTGTGAATTTTATATTCCCCAACCAATTCAACAATGGATATGTCACCAGGCTAGCCTTTTCGTTTTCTTATCATGTTCATCTTTTGATAGCATGCCATTTATGTCTTGATATGGATTTAATGTAGTTTAACCTAGTCTATGGAAATGCACGCACTTAATTATAAAAATATAAAAACGAAGCTTACCTTCAAATAAAATTCTTTGTACTCATGTTGAAGATAATTAACAAAAAGAAAAATGTCAATTTCTAAATTTCATGTGGAAATTTTGCTTAGACATCAATTCAGGACACCTGTATAATTTTGCTAAGTCTTACAGCACCTGAAGAACTATAGCTCCAAGAATTAATCATCATTGTGAAAATGGAAACTTTGTAATACTAAACTAATGAATGCACCTGAGCAATTGATTTGTTATGATAAATAGGTGTTGGAGCTTTTAATGATTTTATTCTTGAATAAACAAAGGCTATGCATTGAAAATATTATGAAACCACTACTTGCCTATATCTTTTACACTGTTACTAATGTGGAGCAAATCGTCATGATTAGTTGAGACTAAAATAGTAGCTCATGCGTACATCCCAAAATAAATATTATGGATCTTTAAAAGACACATGTCATAGAACATACATTACATTATCTATGTTTTAATCCTTGAAAAGCATATATTTTGGTGTTATCAATACTCGTGCTTATGCTATGATTATTTGGTTATGAATTACAATAACTTTTGGTTCACAAACATTAAGTGCTCGATCGAATGCCCAGCCAATATTGGTGAAATCAAAATTTTTGTTACGAGCAAACACCTAAGCCTTGCCCCGCGCAAGCACCAAAGCCCTGTGACAAGCAGGCACATCAAAGCCCTACCACGAGTAGGCACATCAAAGTCTTACCCCGTGCAAGCACCAAAGCCTTGTCACGAGCAGGCACATCAAAGCCCTACCACGAGTAGGCACATCAAAGCCTTGCCCCGCGCAAGCACCAAAGCCCTGTGACAAGTAGGCACATCAAAGCCCTACCACGAGTAGGCACATCAAAGCCTTGCCCCGTGCAAGCACCAAAGGCCTGTCTCGAGCAGGCACATCAAAGGCCTGTCACGAGCAGGCACATCAAAGTCCTACCACGAGTAGGCACATCAAAGCCTTGCCCCGTGCAAGCACCAAAGCCCTGTCACGAGCAGGCACATCAAAGCTCTGTCACAAGTAGACACATCAAAGCCCTACCACGAGTAGGCACATCAAAGCCTTGCCCCACGCAAGCATCAAAGCTCTACCACGAGTAGGCACATCAAAGCTCTATCACGAGTAGGCACATTAAAGCCTTGCCCCGCGCAAGCACCAAGCCCTGTCACGAGCAGGCATATCAAAGCCCTGCCCCGAGCAGGCACCATCAAAGCCTTGCTCCGCGCAAGCACTAAAGCCCTGCCATGAGCAGGCACATTAGAGTCTTGTCCTGCACAAGCACCTCTAAGCTTTGCCCCGTATAAGCACCCCTAAGTCTCGCAATGAATCAAAGTAATAAACCCGACCACGAGTCTGTCCCGAGCTTGTCAGGCTCAACCTATTATTAAATTCATTGGAGTACAGCTCGAGATATTATTTCACATTGGGCTCGGGGGCCTGTCCTCGAGCTCAACACATTGTCTACTCCCAGTCAGAAAGGCTCGGGATAATTGCTTCACATTGGGCTCATGCCTATCTTCGAGCTCAATTCCTTTTTTCAAATCCCAGCCACAAGAGCTCGGGATGGTTGCATCACGTTGAGCTCGGGGGCCTATCCTCGAGTTCAATCCATTGTCAAATCCTAAACACAAGAGCTCGGGATGGTTGTATCACGTTGAGCTCGGGGGCCTATCCTCGAGTTCAATCCATTGTCAAATCCTAAACACAAGAGCTCGGGATGGTTGTATCACGTTGAGCTCGGGGGCCTATCCTCGAGTTCAATCCATTGTCAAATCCTAAACACAAGAGCTCGGGATGGTTGTATCACGTTGAGCTCGGGGGCCTATCCTCGAGTTCAATCCATTGTCAAATCCTAAACACAAGAGCTCGGGATGGTTGTATCACGTTGAGCTCGGGGGCCTATCCTCGAGTTCAATCCATTGTCAAATCCTAAACACAAGAGCTCGGGATGGTTGTATCACGTTGAGCTCGGGGGCCTATCGACTTGACATGAGCATGCCTATTCTTGAACTTAATATACTTATGCATCTCATGCCAGAAACTCCCACATTGCACACGAGCTCCTGACATGGATGCACAGGGGCCTATGATGTGTATGAAAATTATAGCCCGACCCCGAACTTTCAAGCATTGCCCGAGGTAAATACCTCGACCACTCTCATCTCCAAATATCCTTTAAAATGTGGTGGGGCCTCTCATAGGTCGGACCTAATAATCGGGTCCTACTAAGGTCGGGTCCACATGCCAAAATATTGTCCTCTTTTCGAGTCTCTTGCGAGTTTTAGTGCTCCTATGACTCAACTGTTTATCATTATCTAAATACTAAACGTATTACAATTCATGCCAAACCTAAAGTGGTAATTGTGATATAACTCAATCACTGTATAAGATAAAGATTACAGGTGGTTGAATCCTGATACAACTCAATCACTGACATCTATAAATACAGGACTTAGCTCCATTATTCAGGTATGTCTTTACAATACAATTACAGCACATACTTTTACACAATTTCCCTCTCTGACTTAAGCATCGGAGGGGCGACGAGCACACACCTCGTTGCCTTTGTTTCAGGTACCGAAAGCCTTTGTTCGTGCTCTTACTCGGTCCTCGGGCTCGGTATTCAAGCAACAAGTTCGTGATATGCCAGGTACGATTTTTTGGCATCATCAGTTGGTAAAAGTTGAAAATAACTTTTTTACTTGAAAAGAAGAGAGAAAAGTTATCTAAACAAGTATTTGAAGAGAAATTTAGACATGGTCCATCAATTAATCTGCAAGTACATAATGTCACTAACGTAACAATATCTTTTGTCGAAGTCATCAAGTGTATAAAAGCATCAAGCCTTCTCATATTCTCGGTTTTATTAATTGTAATGTTTCGCTATGATTATTATTATTATTATGGTTATAATTATTTTGCATGAAATGAATTTAATATGAGAATTAGAATTATCTCACTATCACTACTATATTAAAGGAGAGGATGATAAGTGTATTGTTCAGTTGTGCACCCTTCTTTTCGCACTGACTTTTTGTGCATTGTTGGTTATTTGATTCGTCTACAGTGACAACCACAATTGTTGAAAAATCACATTTGCTTCTACAGTGGAGCCACAATTCAACCGCCATTCATCTCAAGAACAGAAAGAGATAATAGTCAGCCTTTCAATTATTGAACTCTTATCACATGTGAGATTTGGTTTTCGATCTAGTGCTCCATCTTCTTCGTACGTCTTCACTTTCACTTTGTCATCTTCTATACCTTGATTAATTTCCAAAAACAAAATCACAAGCTCGAAATCGGCTTCTCCTTCTTCTTCGGCTGGTGGGTTACAGGTACTTCTATTCTACAACTTCTTTCTATTCTCAATCAAAATTCAAGATTTTAATTTTATCAAATCGCTCAAGTTTATTTCTGTAATTTATCTTTCTTGGTTTTAGTATTTACTATTATTTATACAGTCTCTATTTTATGCATAATTATTTTGTACTAGTAAAATGGTCTCCATTTTGGGTTCCTTCATATACCATCTGCCCTTGAAATTGCCATGCACCCACTCAAAAGTAATTTTTTTTCAAAACTTGCTCTTATAATAGATTTGAGTTATGCCAGTTTGATTTTCTGATTTCTTTGGGGTAATCAATGGAAATCTTGAAAAGATGTTGAAGAAGGAAGGAAACCCAATTTCCAATTCTCTATCTAATTTATGTTACTATGTTTTCTTTTTTGTCACTATCATTGCTACTTGATGCTAATTTACCGGAGAGTGAACAAGGAAGAAATATGTTCTTAAGCTGAGTTTGATGTAAAAGAAATTACATTTGCTTAATTTTACCTTGGAGATTGTTTGAAGAATCTGAATTTTACAGGGAAAATACCATCTCTTTGTTGTTTGTGATCAAATAATAATAGCGATTCTTGGAATGTGAGAATAAGCAACAATTGATTTCCTAATTTTGCTTAAACAACATGGAATTTCTAATATTACCTTCAACAAGATAAGTTAAGATGGTTTCCAATATCCATTTTGTCCCATGAGTTTGATGTTGTTTGGAAGTTTGTCTAAATTCTTCAAAACTTCATCAACTTATACTGATGTGAAATTTCCTTACTCTTAATTCTGGCTTGGAAGGGTACCATATCAATGTGGATGGAAAACATATGACCTCATTTCCATACCACCCTGTAAGTTACAACTATTGAGGATCTATGGTCTTGTGATATATGGGACTTGCTCTAGTGTTCAAATAATGTTATAGGGATTCACACTTCAAGATTCCACTGGTTTATCTTTTATGGGAGACATTAATGTCCACTCTTGTTTTCGCTGCTTCCTTGTCCACACCACACCCCAATTTTGCACCTCAACAGAATCTTCATTGGTCTAACAGATGGAAGGCTCCACCTATTCTAGAAAGGGCTGTTAAACTGATCCTTGGTATTCTTTCAACGGGCAACAACTTTGCTGAACGTATGGCTATCAAGAAGTCTTGGATGCAGTACAAGCTAATAAAATCTTCAAATACTATTGCTTATTTCTTTGTTGCGCTGATAGGTGAACCAATTAATAGCATGCATGCCACAAATGTAACCTCTTTTAATTCTTTTGTTGAAAGCTTCTGAAATTTATTCAAAAGAATTTCTTTTGACAGCATGCAAGAAATGAAGTGAGTATGGTGTTAAATAAAGAAATTGACTTTTTCAGAGACATTGTGATAGCACCATACATGCATAACTATGACTAAAGAAAATTGCAATATGTAAATATGGGGTTAGTTGTGGATTCATTGATAAATTAAGGGTTGATATTATGTTTGTACTCGATTGATTTTATTTTGTACTTTAGCAGTTTAGAAGAGCTTTTGCAAAGTATATCACGAAAATTGATGACACAAGAAACAACTTGAGACCAAGAGCTTGTACATTGGTTTTCTAAATTATTACCTTAAGCCTATGCAAGGTTGTCAATGGACAGTGACGTATGAGGTACTATTACAAACTTTTGACTTTTCAATCTTTACAGTTGATTTACTTGTTTTATTTGTCGGTATACATCTTATGTGCCTTGTGGTCAATGCCATTGCAATTTAGGGTACTAATTTATTACTTGAGCACGATGGTCTATAAACCCTAAATATTGTTTCATTTTAATATTCTTATTCATATTTACTAACCCATTCCATTAGTTAACTCAATGGTGATATTGAGTCCAATTTTAATACATTTTAATAAAGAGTCAATCTCCTACAAAGCTTTGTGTATTTATCATACTATTGAATCCCACTTGATGCCATTAGCATAATTAATGGCATCGAGTAGACTTGTGTGCAACTTGTGTTGTTTGCAAAACCAACAAGGGAAACTTAGTTTGCAGGAGTCCGGCAAAACTATCGGGGAAAAGGATTTTTTCATTTTCTTACTATTTTATATCCCCTCTTCAAGTACTTTATGATTTTGATAGAGATTTTTGCACTTCTATAATAAAATGATCCTGCAAATTCAAATTCTTTAGCATTAGTTGCCTTATATAAACATCATTTAAAGATATCTTTTAGTGTCATTTATTTAGACTTTCTGTTGACCATTGTGAACTCTATTGTGATTGAACTGGTCAACTAGAGCCTATATGGGAACTTGGAATATTTTTGAGAAATGGAGCAAATAATATGACTACTATATTTAGGAGCAAAAGGTTTTGCATTGGAGTTTTTTTTTTGCCATACTAGGAGTAACTCTTTTGACTAAATATAAAGTTAAATGTCGTTATTATGTAGTTATTCTTTTGGTCTTGGAAACACATTAAGAGGATGTTTGTCTATGCCTAAAGAAAAACAATTTTTTGGCTCAAGCATGTTTGACTCATTATTTATTTTGGGAGTGTGGCTCATTATTATTTCAGGTTTGGAATTTGTTTGGTACCGTTCATTGTTATAAAAGAAAAAGAAATAGAGGAAGCCATTTGCCATAATCTGCTAGGTAATTCAAAAATAAAGTCCACGGTAGCTACTTGGTCTTCTTCCTTCAAATATATACTTACAAATAACTCAGCCAAAGTAATAGGAATTAGTAATTAAGCAAGGGTCCAAACGATGCGCAGAAATTGTAATCACCGAATGTAATCACAGTGAAGAGTGATATTCTTCAGTCTTGAAATCCTATAGGTAACACATGAGTAGTCAGTGTAGAGCGTGTGAGTTCTAACAAAAAGCTTGCTTATTTGAGTATCACTTTGACATCCTTTTTCTTTAGAGCGAGGAAGATTAAAATGGATGGTGCACATCGTAGCAGTGGCCACCAAAGCACCAGAGGAGAAAAGCTCTGGTAAGATTAGCATTCTTCTTCGTATGCTTATATGGGCTGATCTCAGTATTTTGTGTGAAAATGTTGTCTGCTTCTAGACAGAAGCATAAAGTTTAGAAACACTTGAACACACTAAATAAACCTCCAGTCAAAATCATTCGGATCTCTCCCTCTCTCTGTATATTTATTTGTATGTATACATAAATTATTGAATTTCATATGGTCTTTTTTTCGATTTATCCTTATTCTTTGTTATGATTTTGTGAATATCATGTTAAGAATAAGAAGATTTTGTGTTTATTTTTTAGGTTTTTGAGCGACAATTCAAGATCAACCAACCACTCAACTGTATGAGAATAATTTTAGTTTATGAGTTATTCTTTTTTTCTCCCACTTCCATTTTTTTCTTTTGCACCCCCCTTTTTTCTTTTTATATTTTTGGTATTTTGACTTGCAAGCAATTCTACTTTTGTTTGATGATTTTTAAATAAGAGATTCTCTTTATTAATTGAGTTTAACCACAAAGTTCGGGATGTGTTGGTATGGTTCCTCTATGCCTAGGACACATTTAGGTGCTATTACCGTACTATCAAGAGGATTAGCTGCCAAGTAAAATCTTCTTGTGCTTTAGGACCCCACATTAACAATAAAGAATGCACTAAACTAGCAAGAGTTTGTAGTATTTTTAATGCAGAACATAGTCCAAATAGGAATACAATTGACTATGTGTATGTCTCTCATTAATGTGCTTTTAGTCAGGGTTTTCTCATATCATAAAATAACACGCTAACATTATCTTTAAAAAAAACACCGCCCATGTATTGCATGGGTAAATGACTAGCCTTTATACAAGAGGGGAAGGTGTTGTATTAGAAAGACATCTAATATCACACTCCATTCTTTTCATCCTATCATATAGATTTATTTTATGATTATGTGTTATTTTACTCTTTGTGACTGTAATTTGATACAAAAATAGTTGTTAGCAAATTAAAGAAGTTTATCTTGATGTCGGATTGAACGATAAATATCTGCACAAAGAAAGATACATACAACTTTCTGGTGTTATCCTACATGGCACTTTTCCATCACTCTTTTTGCTTATGTTATTCTTAAGAACTATGTATATATTCTTAATTAAATTTATTGTTTAAAATGTATATAATAAATTACATCACTAACTTTTTTATCATCTCCACTACCACAAACATGAATTAATTAACATTTCAAAGTCCAATATTATAGTATTACTAGTCTTTGACATGTGCGTTACATGAGTTTTGTATTTATTGTATTTTTATTAACGTCAAAATTGGTTGAAGATTCGAAGTATTTGGTGAAGTCTAATCGTTTGATTCATTACATTATTATAGGATGCATGAAGATTTCTTTTTCGTTTTTTATTTTTTTCCTCATTTATTTATTTTTTATTTATTTTGTTCATGTTATAAATATTTTTTTCGATTTAAAATCCTTTTTAATTCTTTTTTCTTTATGAAAAAACTTAATTTTTTCAATTTTAATTAAAAAATATTTATATGTTCTTTATTTAATTTTCGCAACATTCTTTTGTTTAATTTGTTTTGTTTTTATTATATATTTTTTGAAGATAGTTTAAAAAAAAAAAAAAAAAAAAAAAGAAATTCTTCATATTATAAATAATATTTTGTTTGATTTAAAATTCTTTTCGTTCTATGATTCAAATTCTTTTTTCTTCATATTATAAAAAAACTAAATTATTTAACAAATTAAAAATATTAGCGTCAAAATTGTAGATTTTTCAAAACTGGTTGAAGATTTGAAATATTTGGTTAAATCCAATCGTTTGGTTCATTGGATTATCGCAGGATGCATGGAGGTTTCTTTTTCATTTTTTATTTTTTCCTCATTTATTTATTTATTATTTATTTTGTTCATATTATAAATATATTTTTTCGATTTAAAATTCTTTTTAATTCTTAGTATATATCTTATAATACAGTGTACGTCCAAATTTACTGCAACACGCAACTTTCCATACCTCTCACCAAATCTCATAAAAATGAGGAAAAAAATTCAATTTTATGTAAAAATATTAAAAATAAAAATACTAATAATAATAATAAGATTAAAAAATTTGCTATCTGAGTAAAAAAAAAAAAAAAAAAAAAAACTTATAATTGTAACAGCTACTTATATAGCACACGTTTGAGCCCCATTATTTGTAGATTATAATGAGATGAATAATATTTTTTTTTTAAAATGAGTGGTTGAAAATTTTTTTATTTATGTGTAATATTATTTTATTAAAGATTATGTGGTTAAAAGTAGGAGATAGAAAAATTTAATTTAATGTAATGAGATATAATGGGGCTCAAACGGGGGCATATTATATAACTAAAAATATCAACTTAAAGTTTTAAGTATATTTGAGTTATTGAAAATTTACTTCAAGTTATTTAAAAGTAAAAAAAAAAACTTATAATTGTAGAAACTACTTATATTATAAGTAAAAAAATATTAACTCAAAGTTTTAAGTATATTTTTAAAATGTAAAAAGTTAGTTATGAGTAAAAAGTTTGCTTCAAGTTATATAAAAGTTATAAAAAAAAAAAAATATCATTATAGTTAGTTATATAGTAAAAAGATATTAGCTTCTATAAAAAAATAAAATAAAAAATCATTAACTCTCTGTGCACAGACAATAGTCTCTTTGCATGGAGACTTTGGTTGATATAATTTATTTTTTTATTATTTTTTTTATACATTATAGATAATAAAAAAAAAACTTCCAATTTAAAATTCTTTTAAGTTCTTTTCTCTTCATAATAAAACTTAATTTTTCGATTTTAACTAAATAATATTTATATATTCTTTATTTAATGCACGGAAAGTGTCTCTGTGCAAGGAGAAATTTAATTTAATTTTTTTTAATATTTGCATTGTTTAGTTTACACTATATATAATTTTTTTTTTCAATTTAAAATTCTTTTTAATTCTTTTCTCTTCAATTTTTTTAATTTACAAGTAACTTTTTCATTAAAACTGAAAAATTAAGTTTTATTTGGAAGAGAAAATAATTAAAAAGAAATTTAAATTGATTAAAAAAATATGCACGGAGACCTTGTCTCTGTTAGAGAGAGTTTTTTTTTTTTAAGCTAATATATTTTTCATATAATAACTAACTACAAAGATAATTCTTTTTTTATTACACTTAAAAAACTTGAAGCAAATTTTTGCTTATAACTAACTCTTTACATTTTAGAAATATACTGAGCTAATATTTTTTTTATTGAGCACGAAGTGAATAGATGGGACTTGGTGGGAAGTATGGAAAGTTGCGTGTTGTAGTAAATTTGGAGGTACACTGTATAATAAAATATGTACTAAAACAAACGGCATCGTTTTTGCTCCTCTACTAGAAAAAAAAAAAGAAATTTAAAACAATTTTCAAAAAAAAAAAAAAACTAAAATAAAGTTACAAAAATTAAATAAAGAATATATATAAATATTATTTCGTTAAAACTAAAAAATTAAGTTTTATTTGGAAGAGAAAAGAATTAAAAAGAAATTTAAATAAATTGATAAAAAAAATTATTTATAAAGTTTAAAAAAAAAAAGGAAACATTTTTGTCTCCATGCATGGAGACTAATGTCTCCGTCCACGGAGATTTGATTTTTATTTTTTTTTTTTGCTGTGAATTTTTACGTTATAAATAATTTTTTTTTCAATTTAAAATTCTTTTTAATTCCTTTCTTTTCAAATTTTTTTACTTACAAGTAACTTTTTGTAAAATTTTTCTATCTTATATTATCTTTATTTTAAAATTTTTTTTTCTATATAAAAGTGATTTTTTCTTATATCCCAACTATATATATCTATATAAGAGTGATTGAGCACGGAGTGGTGGGAGGAATGAAAATTGCGTGTTGCAGTATTTTCTTACTGTATAATAAAATATGTATCAAGCAAGGGAAATGAAGTCGTCTTGCTCCCCCACTTTAAAAAAAAAAAAACAAAAACTATAGTGAGACAAAATGGATTAAGTCACTGTTGCTTTCTACAGTAACTTTACATTCCCTTTTTTAAGCGTCTCCGTGCAAGGAGATTTATTTTATTTTATTTATTTATTTATTATTATTATTATTTTGCTTTGTAGTTTTACGTTATAAATAATTTTTTTTCAATTTAAAATTCTTTTTAACTTTTTTCTCTTCAAACTTTTACTTACAAATAACTTTTTGTAAAATATTTTATGTCTTATATTATCTTTATTTTTTAATTTTTTTTATATAAAAGTGATTTTTTTTCTTATATCTCTATTATATATATCTATATAAGAGTGGTTGAACACGGAATGGTGGGAGGAATAGAAATTGTGTGTTGCGGTATTTTCTTACTGTATAATAAATTATATATCAAGCAAGGCAAACGATGTCGTTTTGTTCTCCTACTTTAAAAAAAAAAAAAATACAGTGAGACAAAATGAATTAAGTCACTGTTAATTTCTACAGTAACTTCTCATTCCCCTTTTTATATAGTAGGGATATATTCACAAGTAGAGGTGGGCGCGGGTCGGTTCGGTTCGATTCGGTTCTAAAGAGAACCAAACCGAATCAAAATTTTCGGGTACCTAGTAAATGGAACCGGTGGGTCCAAATATAATTATGAAACCGTTCGGGTTCGGGTTCGGTTCCGTTCCGTTCGGTTCCATTCAATTCTGTACTATAATTAAATTTTTTAACATTTATAATAACATTATATAAATACAATTAATAACACATTCAATGATTTTGGAATGTCAGAGACTAGTAGACTATCTTGTTCAAATGATTGCTACAGTTAAAGTTTCGGTCAGCGGAGCGTCAGCCAACGATTGTATAGGTTTTGGAATGTCAGCGAGGCTGCGAGAGTGAGTGCGAGAGTCGAGACAGCGTTATACACTTTAGTGTAGGTGTTTAGGGTTATTTAGTGGATTTGATCTTGTTGAGCTAATAAATGAAACAATAAAATGGGTAATTTGGCAAAAAATTAAAAAATTAGAAATGAAACAATTATTGGGCCAAAAATTTGGATTTAGAAATTGTTAATTTGTTTAGAAAAAATTAAAATTAAAATAATTTGATTTATTCAATATAAAAAAAATTACAAAGATTCGGTTTTTGATCTAGAACGTAGAATCGAACCGTACTCGTCGGTTCTCAATTCAGATACCCGTTTGAGTATTTAATTTGACAACCGTCGGATTCGGTTCGGGTCCGGTTCGGAAGATTTGCCAAGCCCTAGTCACAAGTAGTTTGCCAATCAAGTTGCACTTAATACTCTCATAGACCATGAGAAGGTAATAAAACAGGGCACATCGATCCAAACAATTGTCTTCAACCCTAGGCTGCCCAAATGTATATACAATTTCTAGTCACTTTAGTACAGCCTCCTCCTTGTGCAATGCCAACAGAACTGCAAGAGTTGTAACCACTGACATTATCTCGTCCAATAATTATCTGCAAATTGTTTTTTTAGCCTTTTGG